TCTGGAATTGGCTGCCTGGCAGTGTACTTTCTAAGCCCAGCAATTGCCTCAAGAATGTGTCCGGCAGGATCTAGGACTGAGCAATGTACAACTATGAGGCCGACATTAATTTTCTCAACCTTTATGGCATCAAATGCAGTCATCTATAGCACAGCTTACAAAGAACGTCCTTCTCCTGTATAATTGTGATTTTTCAAATTCAGTTATGTGGCTCCTCCTGTATTGGGTGACAGGTTAAAAACTCTATCAGAGACGGATTCATTTCTCCATGACCTTTACATTTTGGAAAGATTGCACTTAAGTCTCCACAGCCTTGCTCAGCTCCCAGGTCAAATGTTCCAGCAGCAAGTCTCAACTTTGCAACCTCTTTGGGCTCTGTAAACTGTCAGGAGCTGCTTCAGCAGCCACAGGAAGTGTTGCCATTTACCCAGTTCTTTTACTTGTTCATCCGAATGAAGGTTCTTTCCCAAATCTGGGCCTGTTGGTGGTAATCCCCTGTGGATTCCTGGTGAGTTTTTTTGCAGCTGTGAGGGAGACATTAGTGAGAAGCTAGGAACTGCAGAATAAAAGCCATATCTTCTCAGTGTTATGATCTCTGGGCTACTTTAAGTATGATGATCAGCCAGTTATCACAATGCATGATTACATGTAAATTTGAAATGCCCATTCAGTAGTTCACCTCCTCTCAGCCCCTGAATTAACGTCTTAGTGCTCTGTAAGCTGCTCTACCTGCCTCCGTTCCCACAGGTGAACGTTCCTATGCTGCAAAAACATTTCCCACCATTCAAAAATCCAGTGACCAAGAGGTTAGAAAGAAAGGACTTCTCTGCTAGATTATAAAGACAGATCTAAAAGATTTAATCACTTCAATATTCTGTTCCTCCACTGAATCAGATATCCTTTCTTTCTTCTTTTTTTAAATTTTTGCTATAGGGCACATGTGCTTGCTGGAGACAGACAGGGAAAGTGAGAAATTATCCCCTAGGGGGATGACCCTGCCACAATCCATTCACTCTCCATTCTCCTCTCAAGATTTTGAGCATGCATTTACACTCACCTGGTATGATTTTCAAGTCACTGGGTCTGGGACTTGAACTGGGAGTCCAATGCCTTAACCACCACACCATCTGCTGCTCCCTAGATATTATTTGTTTGGATTCCCTTTCAGTTTCCTCATTTGCATTCATCCCAAGTTACAGGACATAACTGATAGAGGGAAATGTGAATTATTTTAGATGTTAAAGGCCCAGTGATTGCTGTTTTTTGAAAGAGAAAGAGAGAAAAGCACCTTCAACAGGATCCCACACTATGATCCCCCTCCTAGCCTTTCCACCTAGCCTGGATCAGAGGACTGCCTCAGGTGACCACAGAACTAAGCCCACGATCCACCATATGAATTCAACATTGCTTCAACAGCACATTACCACGGGGCCATCAAGCTGGCCAATGACTATTTTATTGAGTAATTAAACAGGAAGTAGTGAGGTCCTTCCTGAAACTTGACTCCCCAGGGAGCTTGGAGCAGAGCCTGCCTCATAGCAGGCATTTAATACACACTTGTGAAATGAGTGGCTGCCATGTTCCCCAGGCATTTTTGGGCTTGTCTGGCATACACTCCGAGGATATTTTAATTTCCGCACCATTCCTTATGGGTGTTTGGGTTGGTGGCACAGTGCAACAAACTCAACCACTGAAATGCCCTCAGGCACTTCTAGGCCAGCTCTCGGAGCCTTGCTTGTCTGGCCATGATCAGCTTTCATAAATCATCCTACTCCACTATTCTTAGCATTACAGACTTTTATATGGCTTGTCAATAAAATTTTGTAGCTACAATTTTCTAATATTTTTCCCCCCCACCCCCCCCCGGTGTAGGCTATAAATCGATCTACCTCAACCTGACTTCTTACAGTAAATTGCAGCCCTCGGCTTGCTGAATTTCCTATCCAAGTCTTTTGAAGGCATCTCTTCTCACTGTTTACAAAACTGCTGCATTTTCCAGGAGGCACATTCTTGCTCTTTGGGCATAACTTTCCCCAGAACTTTTCATTCCTCTGTAGATTTCTTATTCAGCCACTATTTTTTTACTTTCTGACCTAATATTTCTCCCTCTTGGCTTTATAGAGTCCTTGTTCACCATCTCTAACATGTCTTCTTGTGTGAATCTCTTCACCAAAATGATAGAAGCCAGTTTAACACAGGTATTTATCACCACTCATCTGGGACACCATTTCCCCTTTCCAGGACACACCTGGGCTCCTGACAGTGCTTACTACAAAATGGGAGCGTTCTGAACAGCCATCAGTGTCCTTTTGTCCCCTTAGTATTCTGTAGAACCACCCTCCCTTCCAAGAAGCCTGTGATGAAACATGTCTCTTTGCTGCCTGGGTAGCTGCTGAGGGCTGGAGGCATGTTCCTAAGGGGTCCTAGGTCTTTCCCCTCAGGACCAGATTCTCATGGTCCCAGGAAGGGGTCCTGCTCAAGCTGTTAGGGAACACCATAACTTCACAGATTCAATGTTTACACTCACTGGGACTCTGTATTTCTTTTCTGGTCCAATGTTCTGTGTATGTCTTCAAAAACTGTAATAAAATTTATTTCATGCATCCCCATTAGGTGTTTCATGGGATTTAAGATAGGCACAAATGGGATTGTAACATTTTTCAGTATAAAAATCAAAATTTTTCTTTCTTGGCATCATTTACCATTTGATTCTTCAGTTATAGGAGATGTACAAGGAGGTGGTTAACTGTAAGGTGAAGAAATGCCTCTGAAGTGTCCATGTTGCCTGTTCCATGGCTACTCACTGTCTCACTGTGGCCACTTCCAAGGCAGCAGCCATGGCTACTCTTGAGGGCCTGGTTGCTCTGGAGGCCAGCTCTCTACTTCACAGTCACGTATCACTTAATAACAGGGTTGTATCTGAGAAATCTGTCATTAGGCATCACGTGATCATCATAGCCAGCAGCACTTTCACAGACCTGGCTGGTGCAGCATACTGTATACCTAGACTATATGGTATACGCTTGCAGAATCATGGTGTACATGCAGTCTGTCATTGTCCAACACATCGTTATGTGATGCATGACTGTATTTGGAATAGGAGTGACAGAGAAGGTTGCTGGTGACAACCATCTCAGATGAGTGTGCCTGCAACTTCCATTCCAGTAAATTGCCACCAAAGCTCACAGCTTTTCAGAAAATGCCAATGAGTATTTTAACACAAGTTTGTCTTCTCAGAACAACAATGGGCGGCTATGCCTTGTTTCCGGAAGGGGATGACAGAACATAAAACAGAATAACCTGACAGTAGAAAGCAGAGCACAATTGATATAAATGCCATATGAGGAAAATTCAGTAGAGAGAAGTCTTAAATATGGTTTCAAACTGGTCAAGAAATTCTTTATGAAGGAGTTGGCTTACTAGCTGTTCTTGTGAGAGAGGAGAGAAAGAATGGCGAAAATGAGAGGTGAATTTGAAAAACATATAGGGCAATGCTTTGGCCCCATGACCTACTGACTAAGGGAGCCGGATCCTGAATGGCTAGCTTTAATTTAAATCCTGGCCCGAGCAGCTTGAAAAACATGCTGGGGGCCAGCAGTTAGTGTAATGGCTATGTCGCTGGACTCCCACGTAGTTGACCGCGGTTCATGTCCCGGACCTGGTGGCTTAAAACTCACGCCAGGCGTGTGTGCGTGTGTGCTCAAGATCCTGAGAGGAGAATGGAGGAGAAGAGATTGTGGCGTGGCCATCCCCCCTGGGGGGTGATTTCTCGCTTTCTATCTCTCTGTCTCTCTCTGTCTGTTTGGCAAGCGCACGCACCCTAAAGCAAAAACCTCTCAAAGAAAAACAAACAAACAAACAAACAAAAACCAGGCTGGGTGTGTGTGCATACATGCCCCAAATCCTGGCAGAGAAATGGAGAGAGGATTGCTGTGTGATCATGTTCCATTGGGGGTATTCTCTCTCTCTCTCTCATTCCCTCTCTCTCTCACTCTCTCAGGCAGGTGCATGTGCCCTCTGGCAATTAAGAAATGCTGGCAATCAAAAAATGCAGGCCCTGCCCCAGAGGATGAATTAGAAGTTCAGAAGCGAGTCCAGGAGTCAGAAAGCTTCATAAGGCTCAGGAACTCTTGTGCCTGTACTCAGGCTACATACATCATAGAAACCAGGAAAACAAGTTCGGACAATTTTAAGTAGCTCAGTTTGGTTTAAATTCTGTGCTTGATTTAGAGCAGAACTTGTAAACTCAGACACCTGCAGAGGCTACACTGATACAGGCAACTAGAGAAGTTGATGGGACCTAAGTGCAAATGGAAAAATTATCTCTTCCAATTCTTAAAGTGACAGAAGCCAGTGAGTTTCAGCAATCACTGCCACACACAGATGTGTGCTCAGGACAGCAGAGTTTTCCGTTTTCAAGAGAAGCTTGAAACCTGGGTTTCAGATACTCTCTCCTCAATTTATTAAATGGTAGATTGAAATGCACCATGAGGGCCCCTAGTTGACAAGATCAGAGGGGCCAAATAAAATCTTATTGTACTTGAATGGCAGACCACACTTGTATTTTATCTGGTAGATAATGAGCAACAATGAAAGCTTTGCAGCAAAGAATGGATCTGAACAAAAGGGTACTTAAGGGAAGATCCACGTGGCTGGCTGTGTACTGTTGGGATGGAAGGAAGAAATGACCTCAGACAGGCGAGCCTTATTGGACTCTTTCAATTATGCAAAGGGAATTGTGAAGAAAATACACAGATGTGAGGAAACAGGAATTCATGAGATCTGATTGGCTGTGGAAGGTAGAGGGAAAAGGAATTATCCAGTGTTATCCAGGTGTAAATATTTACCATTTCCAATCATCTCTTTTCTGTAATATATGCTTATGCTTCAACTTCATTCATCCAGAAAAGAAATCATTTAGGTTGTGCTCTGATCGACAGCCACTTAATAAGGAAACTTAAAGTCACTTCATTAGGGTGAAAAAAGAAGCACAGACAAAATATTTTACAGGATCTATAATAAATGCAAAGAAATCATTACAAACAAAACTTGGCTTTAGCAAACTGTACATACATAAATATCTTTTTCTTAACTATAACATCTGACTTTTTTTTTCACATAAAGCCTTCCATGATCTTATTTATTACATCTAGTTTTTCTTTATACCTTTTAAAAAAGTGCCTTTTAGATTTACAGCTTGTGCTTCTAAAGCAAAGGTTAGAACATCATGCCCCCAAAGAAAACAAGGTAAAAAGGAAGCTGCCATATAAGCTCTTAAAAATTGTATGGTACAAGGTTCTACCATCTCTTCAGCACTGGTTGGTTGGTAGATTGCATGATACTGACATGGCGCTTGGGAGGGTTGTTTACTGGATGGATGGAGCAGCAGCACCATAGGAAAGCTGCCCAGGCTGTCTACTGGAGTCTTTGGCTACTACAGAACCAGCCAAAGGCTCAGAATTCATGAGTCCAGGGAACTTTGGAGGTTCTTCATCTCTTTAGTGCTAAGGCTCAGTCTCAAACAATGTTTCTTCCCAACCTCTGGTCTTCTGCTTGCTCTTTTATCTTGGTTTATCATTTACCTCAGAAGTCATGGTTCACCTACACAGAAAATGGAGGAGAGCTGAAGTGCCTCACTGAAAGCTTTTGCCGAAACTCAGGTTCTCTTTCTGAGATTGCTTTCAGGATTGCCTTCGGCACAATCCTCCTTGTGCTACCAGCACTTCCACAGAAGGCATCTACTTGGTTCAGAGGGGAGGAGGGCCGTTTGTGTATCTGAGCATGGGGTGGAATGATCGGGCAAAGTTGTTGGAGAGGGCACAACTGTAGTCTTCCTCTGACATTGGTACGAGGCAGGCAAGCCCAATGAGGAGCAGCAGGAGAAGCTGAAGTGGAAGAGCTGCCCGGAGCACTCTGAACAGGAAGGCTCGGCGGGACTGAGCTGGCCGCTGCTCAGAAAGGGAGGAACCGGAGCCACCTTTTGTGGACCTGAGAACAGAATCAACAGAAAGAATTCAAATCACTCAAATAGTGGATGGATGCTGCTTTTTGCTTCCGTACCCTCCTGGAAGCGAAAGGGCCATGCCAAGTATAACCTGAGGTGGCAAGTTTCTGCCAACCTTCCGCGGTATGCCCAGGTCATTTTTCCCACCACCAAAGGAAGAGCACTGACAAAAAAATGAACATTTAGTCAGTCAACTAAAGGTAACTAATTGAGTTCAAATTCCACTCTTTTTATCTCTTAATTAAGTAACATATTTTCCATCAATAAAGATAATTACTATACACATAATTTATCAGTATAAATTAAGCAGATCCAGTATAATTACAATGTAGATGCTTGTTGCAGCACATTTTTGGTTTAAGGATATCAGGAACATTGTTAGACAAAATTAGTTGCTGTCAGAATCATACAAAGAATCCATTTAGCCATCTTGGATATGCCAGAACCCATGCAGCCAGAAGAAAACAGTCCTAAACACTTTGCGCAGATCCGTAAAAGCTTAATTAATCTCAGAGCATACCCTGGTTTCATTTTGCACTGGCCCTGGCCCTGACCCTGACATTAGTGGGTTCCAAAGATGTATGAACAAGGATTAGCAGTGGAGTCCCTCTATAAGAGAGTGGTGCTGAGCGATGTAAATTCTAGGTTGATTTTATCTATAGCTCTATGAGTAGAAGAAACTAACACAATTTTTTCTGTGTCATCTTGAAAGCTCCTTCTAGACTCAAAGTTTGAAGTTTTCTTATGCCAGTTTTATCTTCCTTTTAAACCATGCATTAGAGAGTAAGCACAAATATCAAAATTCATAAGAAAGACTGCCTATGAAATATCAAGCATGAAACTAGATGCTGAGTTGGGGCCACTTTTTTCTTTCTGTCAGAAGTCATTAACATTTTGTTTGGTTACCAGTGAAAAAGATGAAGAAATATTATTGATAAGTCATCTGTGTATGCTCTCACCCACACAACAATACATGAACAAAAAGAATAGATGTATTAAGGAGACATATTCCCACACACCAAATGTGCATTCTCTAATGGTTTAATATCACTAAGGGTAAAGGTATTGCATGTGAGTGCCATTAGAAAAATATGACAGTGTAAAAATTGTATTACAAGCTCTGAAGGTTTGGCTCAGAAGAAAACATTATAAATGTAGCTCCCCTACTGGCTGTTAATTTCTGAAGACAAGTTTACCTTAGTGTCAGTGGGGGAAATGGGGTAGCACCAGAGAAAATAAATGTTCAAATAAAAACAAATATGATTCCCTTACATAGGAACAGAGGGACTACTAAAAAACTATTTTATTAAGCCACAGAAGATAGATGGGAGCTAGACAAGCTGGTTCTGCAGTAGCCCCAGCATCCCTGTACTACCTACCCTCTTTCTTGGGGTGTAATGAAATACTGCACCACTGGCCTAAATTGGAACCGCATACTTTTCTAAAGTCAACAGCCCAATGGCAGTGTGACCTTGAACAACTCACTTCACCTCTGTTTGCCAATCTCTTCATCAACCTTCTCAAAATAGACTGCATGGTCTTCCACATGTTAAGTTCTATGTTTTGCATGTTTTATAACTTCTGTTGATTTGCCATTGTGCTCCCAATGGAGCAGTCACAAGTGTTCAATGACCATCTAGTGGTCAAAGTGATTAACTACCCTTATGATCAGATAAGTATTCTTAATGAGCTTACTAGAAAGAAATACATAATTTGTGAAAATACAATAGAGAATGTAAGAAATATGTTATATGCCTTATTTGTGCAAAGGGAAAAATTGAAGTTGCTTGAATGACCTAATTATAAAATATGCATGTTTAGATAGGGCCTTAGAGAGCATATTCTAATTTTGTAGATAGTTAAGGATAGTTAATGCTTATTATTCAAATTTCTAGAGAGCAAAGGTATTTATCTTGGGTTTTCTCATTAACCTCCACAACAGTCCTCTGGGACTGCCTGGGACTATACTTACTATCTTCACTTTATGGATGATGGAAGAGATTCAGAGATGTGAAGTAACTGGCTTGAGTTTACAGAGCTAAAAGTGTCAGAATTAATATTTCAACCATGGACTTGTAACTGTCTACTAGAGCTTGACTCTATGTAAGTGACTTGCTCCAAATCCCACAATTGAAGGAAGAGCCATACCAGTACCTTAGGGTTCCAAAATCTACCACTCTCTCCACAATGCTTTGCTGTTTGGCGATATAAATGTTGGTCATGCAGGTCTTATTTATGTCACGGGTATTTCACAAGGAAAAAAAGAGATTTGGAAGTATTTGGAAGCAAGTGGTTACTTTATGTCTAAAAGAATGCCTCTAATCATAAAGCCTCACAGTATACAATGACCACCAAATCAGTGTATCCTCACAAGGACGCTTTGTTTTGAGAAAGTTGGATTATGGTCAGGTAATTTAGTTAATCTCTTTGGCCTTTGATTTTTCTCATTTGCAAAGATAAGTGGTGCAATAATATCCTAAAATCATGTTGACTCTGATAGTCTATAATTCAATGGTTTGCCCTAAAGTGTTTTGAAAAGGCTGAAATAGCTACCCACAAACTCTGGATTGCATTTTTCTCTAGTATATTCTTCTCTTGACTTGGAAAATATGCACTGGGGAACAAAACTCATCACCTGTACCTGGATGACTCATGTTAGAAGGACAGAAGAGAACATCATGTTGCCGTATTGTTAAATATCATACTCATTTTCATTAGAAGACACTTAAGGACTTTAGTGATGGGTGGATTCTTGCATATAATTGATAATGCAATCTGACTGATGGTTGATTAGCCCTTTGTCAATTGTTAGCTTTTTTTTTTTTTTTTTTAATCATTAGGTCAAAGATCAAGATCAAAACAAGGGTTTCACATCACCTAGCTCACTCCTGGGAAAAACTGGAAAGTTCACCATTTTTGGAACATGGACTCATATGTTACAGAGTCTGTTGAAAGACATGGCACATTTAACAGCATCAGAGCATTCTTTAATAAAATTTAATTAGTGCATGACTTTTCACATTGAAGAATGCCCACATGGGTAGAAGTAATGGGCTTAGATGGGGACACAGGGAACACCTGGTTCTTAGGGACTGTCTGTGCAGTTGACTGCTCCTAAAAATGCCCAGTCTATCTACTGAGAAATATGCACCCCTTGGGGTAACTAGCAGAGATTCAACATGCCCAAAGCTGCCTATTCCTTAAGATGAATTTATTCTAGAGATTTTATTACCAGCAGGTAAATGATCCCAGACTAAAAGGGTATTTTAAATACTTAACCTATTGACTTAAAATTACTCAAGTTTCAAGAGTCTTGGGAAATTCAAGAAAGTAAAGAACAAAGATGACTTGTTGGATAGTCACAGGTTGCTCTCCACTGACCTTATTAGATAAATGGGCACCAGTTTAGATTTTTTTATATGGTAAACATAAAATGTGAAACTTAGTCATTGAATTTAACTAATGGAGATACCTGAAATATTCATATTGTTCATATATTTCAGATATATCCACTGCTTCTATTCTGGAAAAAAAAAAGTGCTTATTATTTACAAGTGAGTGTTTTTCTGGCTCTCTTCATTTCTTAAAAGTTTCGGGGCAGAGTATTGCCCAGGAAGTGTTGCATCTCTTTCCCCAAATGTGTGTACAATTGTGAGGGAAGGAGGGTGGGAGAGAAGGGAATAGTAGTATATGACAACACACCACACAAACACGACAAAGAGGTGCAAGGAGTCTGAATATGGTACATGCAGAGTGTTGACTTTGAGAATTTTACATCACCAAGGAAAATAAAATGAGTTAATTCTGTCTATACATGGCTTAAAGCCAAGTGAAAAACATTTTTAACTCATTTTGCTACTTGTTTGCTTACACTGACTGTAGAGTAACAAGAGCTTACTGTCCAGAAATATCCAGGTTGTCCATGTTCTTGCTGTTGCTTTTACATGAATTGTCTTTGAGACATAGTGTTTCCCGCATATGTGGGTCAGAAGGTAAGTTTCCAGAATCAGTTTAATAATCCAGTCTCATCTTCTTCCAAACCAGACATTCTGGCTGGTCCTGAGCTACCCGATGCAGATTATTGTGGTCCAAGCTCTGCAACTGCTGTCTATAGTCCTCTCCACACCATCAGCTCTTCTACTGAACAAAGTGGGCCTGGAACCAGGTGAAACTCAGGTTCAAATTCTAAATCTTGGGTCCAGCAGGTGGTGTGGTGGTTAAGGCACTGGACTCCCACAAGGCTGACCATAATTCAAGTCCCGAACCTAGTAGCTCGAGATTCAGACCAGGAACATGTGCGTGCATGCCCAGAATCCCAAGAAGACTGGAGAGGGAAGGATTGCGGTATGGCTATCTCTTCTGGGAGGTAATTTCTCACTTTATCTCTCTCTCTGTTGCTCTCCAGTGAATGCACATGCCTATGGCAAAAACCTAAAAAAAAGAAAGAAAGAAAGAAATCCTAAATGCTCATGTCTATCTCACTTCCAGTGTCCTTGTCTATAAATTGAGGAAAACAGTATTCCACTTCCCACATCATTGCAGATTTGTTCTCTGAGGTTGCAGTTACCTTAGTCAAGCAGTCTAAAAATATTAAATGGAAAATTCAAGCAATAAGCTACGTCTAAGTTTTCAATCATGTGCCATTCTGAGCAGCGTGATGAACTCTCAGGCCATCCCTCCTTTTCCTTTCTGGGACGAGAAATCATCCTGTTGTCCTGTATATACCCACCTTTTAACGACTTGGGAGCTGTCTTGATTTTCAGATTAAACAACAACAACATAGTGGATGAAGGTTCAGTACTATCTGTGGTTTCAAGCATCCATTAGAGGTCCTGGAATGTATCCCTCACAGATAAGAGGACTACTGTACAGTCATATTATGAGGCTGCTGGGGTTCTTGTGAAGGTCAACTGAGGTAATGTACATACAATGTTTAGAGCGATCTAATAAATGTCAGCAACTTATCATTATTATCTGTATAATTATACCAAGTGCTGACTCATACCCCTGGGGGTTGGCTGGGTTCAGGCTTTTCTCTCATGAAAACATTCCTGATTTACTAATAGTGCTTTCAAAGATGTGATGAATTTCCCAAACTGCCTAACTTGTTCCCCAGAAAAACTGAAAAGGCTCCCCTAGAAACAGCAAAAGAGAAATGTATTGGAGGCTCACTGTAAAGACTGCCCTTAGGACATGAGCTGCCAGCCTACCTTACAGGGGAGGCCATGCTGAGGCTCTGTGACTGCTTTGAACAAACAGATCCCCAGGGCACTGTCTGACAGAAAAGACTAGAAAACACATTCTACAAGAAACTGAATAGTATTTACAGCGAGGCCCAGTGAACATGCAAAAAACTTATTGTACTTTCTTAAATATATTTGACTACCTTGAATGAACTTTAAAGTGAAGTCTTTTGTCCCTCCCTTTGGGTTTCATTTGCCACTCTCATTCCTTTGTAGTTCTCTGGGCATAAGTTACCAGAGACTGAAGGTGCCAAGGACAATTTTGTGCTTTACAATTCTAGGGTTTAGAATGAAGTTATCAGTTCACTTCATCCAGTCTGCAGAGCAATTATTCCCTTGCCTTGCTAGAAACTGGAGTGAAAGTTTCCTGTGTGCCAACTTCAACTTGTCTACAATGTTTTGAAGTGCTACTGGTCGCAAGGTTAGAATGTTTTAAATCAAATACAGAGAAAAGGTATCAGCTAGACCATCAGCAGCACAGCTCTGTAAGCATGCTTCTAAAATGTTCAATAAAAAAAATCAGAATGCAGTTATAATGCATGTATACACAATTTTTTCCCTATTTTTGTAATTTTAAGAAGTTATTGGGAGCTCCTTATAATTTACTTAGGGAAGCTCTAGAATCTTATAAGCTGCATCTTTTAATGGCAGGGACCATATTGCATGGACCATTAATTTTGTAGCTCTAGGACCCAAACTTAGTAGATAATCAGTAACTATAGGCATCAATTTATATGTAGGCTTAGAATATTATATGAGGACACAGACTCACCACCAAGTCAAATAGAAACATGTAACAGACCAGCATCCAACTTAAACAAGAAAAAAAAATACAAGTAACTGTCTTTTCAAACTAATACCTAGTTTCTTCTCTTTACCCTCTCAAGAAGAACACAGTTCTAAAATATTCTCATTACAGTCTCTGGGGACAACATTCCAAACCATTTTTCTTTCTGAAGTAGCCTTTTAAATTGGCTGGGCCAGTGCAAGATCAAACACAAGATACCTCAAGTCCAAAAGTCCATGGATACCGAGACAGCCCGCCAGTGAGTGAAGGTCAGGCTGGCAGGCTGCATTTTGTTGTCATGGCTTAGTGCACACCAGAAGAGCCAAGAAATTAGGAAGCCCAAGGACCTTCAAGCACAACCTGTCTGCTGAAGTTTCCCATTTAGGTAGAGATTATCTCTATTCCATTCCCTCCCGAGAACAAAGTGAACATCGTGCTGAGAGGTCAGAAAGACGCTAACGAGGCTGGACAGAGCAGAGCTGGAGGCACCGAGTGCATGTCACAACGAGCATGTGGCTATCCCAGCCACAAAGCCCTGTTAGGAAGCATGTGGAAACACTGGTCTATCGATAAAATAATATGTTTTCCAGAAGACCCGGGTGGCTGTCTGAAATAACTGGGGAGCAGACAGACACAGTATTGGACACCGAAGGGAGATTGCTATCAGTGATAGGTAATAACGGACTGCATTCTCCTCTACACCATCCATCAATTGCATCAACAAAAGGACTGATTTCTGATGCCCAGAAAGGAATGCCTGAGGATGTGCTCCATCTCAGTTCATGGCACTCAGCAACGTGTGGGGAGCAGATGGGCTGCAGGACACAATGATCTGTCTGTACAACGTGATCATCTTCTCTTGCAGGAGGCTGAGAAAACATCTGAGCACCTGCTGGTGTCCATCATATCTTCCAAACTCCCTGGGAGCTTTTCTCCATATTTCATTCTAGCTATTTTATTATGGTAAGGGAAAAAAAATTTTTTTAAATAGTTGTCCTTAACCCAAAACAACAGAGAAAAAAAAAAAAACATAGTAAGGGAGGCTTAAAACCAGAAAGCATATCAAAATACATTCTACAATCCCTCAGCTGAGTGGAAACGACCAAATGATACAGCCAGGCCCTCAGCACACAGCTTGAAAACTAATATGATTACTCATGGGGTGTTTCCAGTTCTACAGTTCCTTATCCCCACCCTCCTTCCAGGAACTAAGATTGCGCTCCGTGGTGATCAGTTTCTGGGGGCAACTACTTTCACAGTGAACTGCTTGAGACTGGAATGAAAAATCAGCTCCAAGGATGGTATTTTTATTTTTTAAAAAATTGTCTGGGGGAACACGAACTGATTAGTGGGAGGGCAGAAGAGCACAGACATCAATCACACCAACGACAAAGAAGGCAAAGCACCGCTCAGTGCAGAAATGAGGGGCTGGAGAAGGCAAGGCATGAAGCACACAGTGGCAGCTGTGAGTTGGCTCTGGGCGGTTACCGGCAGGGTTCTATGTTTTGGGCGCCAGCGGGAAAGAGCCTGCCCAGTGTCAGGAGAGGGCATGGCTGGGCATGCTGGCTGAAGAGAAGTTTTAGGATAAGCAGAAGAGAGAAGGTGCTTAGCTATTTTACGGGAAGGACATCAAATTAGAACTTGCCATTTTGAGAATTCAAAACCCACAGTCTGGATAAAACATGAAAATTAAAAAAAAAACAAACTGGGGGGATGTTAGTATATTTTATTCAGATTTGTGGGTTCTGTGAATGGTAAAATAATTCATTGGTCTATTACCTGTCTTATTGTAAAATCTAGAAGTAAAGAGGATGATAAAAGTCTGCCATGGTGAAAGGGCGGCTGGAACAGATCCTTAAGTACACACGGAACAGAACTGAAGGGAAAACATCTGATGGGTCATGAATGGTTTAACAAAATTTTGGTTTGGTCCAAATACATTATGCTTAGGGATTTACTTTCTATTTGGAAACATCTCTTCCAATTTTTTACAAAAAGAGTAATTTCTTGACTACCTTGAGGAAGACCAGGTATAGGTCTCCCTAAATCATGGACAAGTTTCATCATCCTCTTGGTATTCTAGAACAGTGTGGAAACCAGGAGAACAAGGTACCTGCTATGTGGACTGCTGACAGAGGGTCCAGGCTGTGAGAGACTACATTTGCCTCGTGGCTGTTTGCAATGAACAGGGGGTAAAGAAAGAAGAATGTTCAGTCCAGGCAAATAAAGACAAGCTACTGATGAAAATTAAACTAAAAGTGCAGCAAAGGAAAAACAAATCAAATGAAATGAGCAGTACCCACGAATTAAGGAAACTGGCTTTTCTTTGTAAAAGTAAAACACATTTACATCTATTTTACTAGTCACTGAAGAAATGTAAGTTGTGGTCTTGGAGTCCACATCAACATGGGTATGGCCCCCACTTTTTATGGTAGAAACACAAAGGACTACACTGCATGAGGGTCTCTTTATACTCCTATTTACGTATAATATGTGTACATATATTTATAAATAGAAAATAATAAATTATTATTAATAAATGTAAAATTCACTATGCCATACTGCATATTTCAAAGATAATTTACTTTAAACAATCTTTTAGAAACAGTGTAAGATACTGAAATAGAGACAGGCAGGTGGCATGGTGGTTAAGCTAACTGGATCCCTTTGTGGTTTGAGTCCCAGATATGGCAACTTGAAATACATACTGGGAACATGTACACGCATGCCTAAAATCCTGAGAGTAGAGTGGAGGAGATGGGACTGTGGCATGACCATCACCCCACGGGGTGAATTCTTATCATACTCCCTGCCCCCTCTTTCTCTCTTGTAATTACATGTGTCCTATAGCAATAAATAAATAATTAAATAAGATACTAAAATAATATTAAAATTTCTTGATAAAGAAAACATAGACAACAGTAATATGAGCTTATTCTTGGTAGTGATGAAACTTAAATTCAAAATTTGAGTTAATAAAAGCTAAACATTGACTTGAAAAGCCAGTATTCCTTCACATTCTTAAACTAGGATCTATAGGAAACTAGTGAATGCAAACTGAAAACAATCCTAAGAAAGGCAATACAGTTATCAGCATAGAACATAGGTATGTAACAAAGTACAAATGAAATCAATATTTCTAAAAACTAAGGAAAATGAAATGATTATAATCAAAGCCAGACCAAAAAAAAAAAAAGTAAAACCCAAAAAACTAAAACCAAAACAAAACAGAACAAAAAAACAAGCTTCTAATTACACAGAGAAATCAAGGTGTAGAGGGCAGCAGTGGCCAGATTTGCCTTTTATCCTCATTGTGTTCCAGCAAAGCAGCCCCAGCACAGGCATCAAGGGAGAGTCGGCCTGGGTGTTGCCACTTTATCACCAAACCTTCAAGACCACCGCTCAGAAGCTTCTTGATGGAGCATCAAAAGAGTCTCCATTTGCCTTATCAATTCATTGGGCTTAGGAGGCATTCACAGTTTTGTTTGCCCCTGGCTGAGGCCTGTGTAAGTGCAGCCTACCTTTTTAGGTAGACATGGCAGTGGTGGTTTGAAGGAAGGAGACATCAAAGGGACAAATGAGCACCATTCTAGAAATGGCCATTTGCACAAGAAAAGTAAATGTTCTCCCTGCATACCAGCCACACGTTGAGCTCTGATTTTTTTTTTTTTTTTAACAGGATTGCTATTTTCCATTCCTGAGCGCATGCTGGAAAGGCACATGGCAGGGCTGAGGAGGCAGCACCACACTGTGTGACAGCCCTCTTCTGGCTGAGGACACCTGCTCTGCGGGGGAGAGCCTGTGGACCCTGTACTAATCCTGTCACCTCCAGTTTCCTCCCATGGGTCAATGGAAAATGACCAGTGGGAAGTTACCGTTCTCTGTCTGTTTGGGGTGCTTCTTCCTGATGTAGGACTCACAGATCCTGAGGTGTCCAGCTCATCAGCGGAAGACCAGGAAGACAAATCCTATGTAGAAAAAGGGAATTTTACTTTTATTATTTAGTAGCTGCATGTCCCAGAGCCATAGCCTTCTTATTTCTTAGTGACATGGATCTGAGAGGGTTGATACAGGCTTGGGAGGTGAAGAAGTCTGCAGGTGACTCAGAATGAAGAGAAACCAATTTACTGGGGTTAGAGACAAAAGACAATAATCCAGGAGCCTACTTCTAGCACTAGAGAATTCATATTATTTCTGGCACTGCTGCTATTCAGAGTAGATTTTTCTTTTGTATGCTTATCACAGCGTAAAGAGTTTGGGTGTTCTTGTCAGTGTTTCACAATCAATTGCTTGAACTCTCACTAAGCCATGACATAGCATATTTAAGAAAAAATTATAAACACCTAAGTGAAAAGAGGACCATTTTTCTTTCTCTTGTTCTTTAGTTTTGCCATATGGTGTGTTTGGTCACCAGAGAGAGACAGGCAGAGAAAGAGAGGATAAGTGAGAAATCACCCCTCTCCCCCTGAACAGGGAATGGCCAAGCAACAATCCTTTTTTGTCCATTCTCCTCTTGGGATTTTGGGCATACAAGCACATGCACCCAGTGTGTTTTTCAAGCCACCAGGTGCAGGACTTGAACCATGGAGTTGGCCATGTGGACGCAGAAAGTTAACCTCCATGGCACCTGCTAGCCCAAGAGGATCATTTTCTCTAAATTAATACTTGCATATGTAAGGAGAATGCATGCCTTACAAGTGTTGGATACAAAACTCACATGCAATGAATGGTTTATTCTACCATGACTGTGTGAGTGGAAATGAGTGAGTTCTTAGTGAATAGGTGAAGTAAAATGCCAGAGTAGTGGCGGTGCCACGGTTAGTAGCAACAATTACAAGAGATCTTCTGGACTTCACAGACTCCAAAGAAGTGTCCTATTTAAAAAGTTTATGAATCTACTTTTCTCATTTTGAGACAGGGTTTGTAAGTACAATGATTGAGAATGGCAAGTACTCCATTTGAAGTATGAAGATTCTTATAACAAGTGTTATAAAAGGATGTTTGTTTAGTGCTTACCTGCTGACTGCTTGACATGTCTAATAACTTCTCCAGTTCCTTGATATGACGACTGACCTCCTTCAAGAGAAGCTTGAGCCGATTTCCAATAACATGGACCTTTTCTTTGGCTTCTAGACAGTCTGTGCCTTCAGCATTCACCAGTAGTTGGCAAGACATGTCTTGTAGTGAGGCTACTTTGAATTGAGACTCCAATAGTTCACGCCTTATTTGCTATGTATATAATAAAAACATGTTTCTAAGCATTTTTGATGATTGGATAAAGTTCCAAAAGCATAGAATATCACTTTAACTGAGTGGGCAATTACACCTGAGCACCAGAACACAGTTCACACGTGTAAGGATGCAGTAGCTATACATGTGAATTGGAGACCTGTGTTCACCCTGGCCCTGCTGAAAAAGTTCCACAGGACCCCTGAACCTTTCTGATCTCTGCTTTCTCACTTGATACCTGATCTACAGTATTGCTGGAAGTTTCAAATTGGTTAATGCATGTTGAAATGTTTAAAATATAAAGTATCATGCAAATGAGACAAAATATTCTTTTAAAGAGAAAGTAAAATATTACCATCTAAATACAGCAAATCTCTATGTCCAGGTATATTCTGGTATCTAGTCAAGATTTGCAAAAAATATAGGGTGACTCATCATTCACAGTTGAAGGCCGGAAGGTCAAAGTCTAATAAGAAATCCAGTTGCATAGCTATTTTCTCTTGGTTTTTAAGGCTTTTATGTACTTAATTAAAAGCTACCAATGCTGTCATTTAGGTTAGTAAGTGTTAAATGTGAAGACACTGGATTTTAGAAATACAGGAAGCTACAAAATACAAAACACTTTCTTCTAATGGAACTCAAATAGGCATTCTTTTTGTCTATAAAATCACTTAAATACACTGTACAGTATATGGTCCAAAGATCCTTACATAGAAATCCATGCAGTAAATTTCCTTTAGAAGTTAGTGCTAAAATTTTTTTGCTTTTTATCAGATAATGAAAATAAGTTGACTCATCCTGCTTCTCTTTTTATTTTACCTTTCAGAAAACTTGGTGCTAAGGTTCGTGTTTAATCTTGTATGTTTAAATTTCTCTGAAAAAATAACTTCATTGTCTCTTTCTATTTTATAATTTGAATGTCCTTTTACTGTACATCTCCAGATGTATTTTGGGGACATAACATAGAAAATGTAAATTAAAAATAAGTGCAATTCACCAAAAAGCTGCCTTCACACAGACAAGCTAATTAAGATCAGGACATCTAAGACATTTTACAACTGAGCAATGACTTCAGAGCCAGATTCTAAAGCTAGCAGATATCACCTTCAATACATGTTTGCTTCACAAAGCTTGGAAACCATGAGTTTAGAAAGTGTGAGTTAGAAACTACAACAAAATGTAAAAAGAAAAAAATAATATATTGCCACTGAAACTCAATTTCTGTAAATGACGTCGACCCTGCTAAAATAATCAAGGCTGCCAGAGTTCACTCTCACCACAAGCTGTTTGTGATGGTCCTGGAGTATCTCTGCATCCAGGTTAGAATCGATAGGAACAATTTCATTTTTCCTTCGGTCGATGTTCTCCAGCATAAGAAGCAAACCGTGGCTCATTTCATGGAAATCCTACAAAAATACAGGATATAAAGTAATAGGATAATATGCTTTTGCTTCCTTGCAGCTTAAATTTCCATTCTTTCCAATTGTGACCTTGGCGAACACATTTGGTTTTAAGATCATGTACACAACTCCTCTCTAAGGAAAGCATTGTTGCTGTTGTAATGACCTGACCATGAGTTCATGTTCTTAGTTAAATTATCTAATTTATTGCTTGGGGAAAAATTTAGACATAAAAGTGGCATCGAAATACATAATTTATGAGAGGGAGTAGTGCTATTATTAATATACAGTTTAAAAGGAAGCAACTCTACTACTCTCTCCTCTGTGTATTCAGATTTTCCAATCATTCAGGCCTACATTCAATCTCATATCCCTTCCACTTATACCTTTGTTCACTCATTTAGTCAATGAAGATATTTGTTAATGAAGGATTGTCATGTATAGCAATGAGTGCAGCACTGACAGAACAGTGTGGATGCCTGTGTTTGAGGAGCTCTTACTCTTGGGACACCTATAAATCTGAAGACCAGGCAAATCCCTTCAGGGCTTCTGGTTATGTCTCAAATATGATCCAAATTTCTGTCCTAAACCTAGAAGGCCCTGTGTCACCTGGTCCCTTATCACCTCCCCAGTCTTTCTCATCACTCCCTGTCTCACTGAACACATTCTGGAAACTGGCCTTTTTTTTTTTTTTTTTTTCTGTCCTTAAAACTTTAAGCTTTTCCTTCTTCTGGGACTTCCCATGTGCTGTTTCTCCTTCATAACAACATCTTTCCATGGTTAGCTCAGATAGCAATAGACTATCTCTGACCACCCTCCTAAAACAGCTTTTCTCAGTTACTCTGATCATCTAAGATATTGCAAGTATATTGGTTAACTACTTGCTTGCATTGTATTTACTCTGTTTTCCCCAACAAAAATAGAGGCTTTGTTGGGACCACCAGTTAGTGTAATGGCTATGTTGCTGGACTCCCATGTAGTCGACCGTGGTTCGAGTCCCAGACCCGGTGGCTTAAACTCACGCTGGGTGCGTGTGCGTGCATGCCCAAGATCCCTAGAGGAGAACGGAGAAGGGATTGTGGCGTGACCATCCCCCCCTGGGGGGTGATTTCTCACTTTCTGTCTCTCTGTCTCTCTCTGTCTGTCTGGCGAGTGCATGCACCCTATAGCAAAAACCTCTCCCCCCCAAAAAAAAAAAAAAAAAAAAAGAGGCTTTGTTGTATCCCATTTGTTATACTATGGACACTTAGCAAATAAGAATGGTACGAATTGATGAATACATATTTGTCATGCTTGCTCTGATGGTAAAGACATGTTGCCTGTGTGCCAAATCAACATTTACTGAATGAGTGAACTAAATAAATGAGTCCTTGAAGGAATGGCAGGACTGTGCTGAACTTGGGGAACAGTCTCCTCTTAGTTGGACATACAACTAAGATGGGATCTAGCAGGTTTGAATACTGATCACATATACAATTTCTCCAATAAAAAAAATTCTGAGCATACAGTTATTGCATTCAAATACTGACTTAGGGAGCAAATGCATCCCTCAGGAAACTGAAATAAACGGTTAGACTCAGCTACCCTATTAATGTTTTGCCTGGGGTCGCCACATGCCCAAAGCTCTCCCAACCTGACACTGCATCAGTGCATCCTGTAGCAGGCCCCGCCACTCCTCCAGCAAAAAGCACACGCGGTCCCATCGCCCATTCATTTGGGATAAGCGATCCTGCAGGTCCTGGCTCTGCTCAGAGTCAGCCTGGGTGAACTCGGAACTGCAGAGATTGATAGAGAGGATGATGGCTTTGCGGTGGTCCACAGCTTTCTGAAGCTCCTGAAAAGAGAAAGGAGTACAACCAAATAAATATAATAATGACAAAAAAAATATTTAAAAAAAATAGTGTAAGTCCCTTGAAAATTTTGCTCAAATGAAAAGATCCATTAATTAACACTGGTCTTAACAAGATGGCTAGGTAAGAGACAGTGGTGCACACCACTGAGGGCCATGCTGTAGAGAGGAGAAATGGGTGAGAAATAGCACCAACATACAATATACACACAAAAATCCACACTGTTCAGGAATATATAAGAACAAGGAATGTCCCTTACATTTTTCTGAATGGTGGCCATTGGTTTGAGGAATGGGAGTTAATAAAACAACAGGAGGAATTAATATCAATAACAACAATATCAATTACAAGAAGCAATGATGACCCTGTACAATGAACTAACCAAATGAACTAACCCAACTTCCTTCACAGAGGATACAGCAAAACAAAACCAAACAAAAACATTTTTAAATTGTTTTGAGCAGTAGGATACTTGTTTTCCCCCTGTTTTCTGAGTATAATAATTTGAGTTTACTAGGCCAATGGTATTCAGTTCTGTGTGCATAAGAATGAAGTGGTGGGAACCAGCAGTTAGCATAATGGCTATGTCGCTGGCCTCCCACATAGTCGACCATGGTTCATGTCCCAGACCCGGTGGCTTGAAACTCACGCCAGGTGCGTGTGCGTGCGTGCCCACGATCCCAAGAAGAGAATGGAGGAGAGGGGATTGCGGCGTGACCATCCTCCCTGGGGGGTGATTTCTCGCTTTCTGTCTCTATGTCTCTCTCTGTCTGTCTGGCCAGTGCATGCGCCCTATAGTGAAAAAACCTCTCCCCCTCCCCCTCAAAAAAGAATGAAGTGGTGAGCTGGCCCCTTATTGCAGATGTCTAGTGCTGTGTCTAGAGAGTTAGATCCTTCATGGCTGATTGTGGTTCAAATCCTGGCCGTAGTAGCTTGAAAAGATGCCACATATGTGTGCTTATGTGTCTCAAATCCTGATAGGATGCAGAGGTGGAGGGAAAAAGAATTTTGGCATTACCACACCCCCAAAGAATTGAGGGTGCTTTTATTCTTTCTTTCTCTGTATGTGTCTTCTGGCAATAAAAAAAATTACATATATATGAAACTAGATATGGAAAATTATCCACGATAACATGTATAATTAAGTCACTATGCAGTATATTCTGGATGGGAAATCACATTTTGTATGTTGTGACAATGCTCAGTGAATAAATGTAAATTAATTAATCAAAAATAAAAAAGAAAAAAGAAAAATTATATATATTAATTAATTAAAAAGAAAAAATATGAAGTGACAAGCTTGTTAAGAAAGCAGATTCTATGACCCAGTCTGAATGTTCTGACTCTGTAGGCGCAATGGCCCCCAGGCTGAGAATACTGGTAGTGTCATGGGTCACATCTCTGTGATGGTAAAGAGTGTGAATTGAGTATTTCCTGAGCTAATCAGTATAGTTTGATTTCATAAAAAAACCAGCTGACTGATATTTTGGCTTTGTGCTTTTCCTAAAGTCTAGAACTCAATTCAAAAACTTGAGCAGAAAAAGGAAAAAAAAAACTTGGGCAGACAATATTCATTATAATTAAGTACATGGGTATTGATTAAATACCTGCATATCAGGTTAGGGTGAGCAATCCTGGAACTTATATCTATGCAGGCTGCATTTTCCTGTATCTCACTGGCTGTTATATTCTCAATTTGTCTTAATTTTTCACTTTTCAATAGGATCTTAGCATGCTACTGTAGGTTCAACTACAGAAACAGCATCATATCAAAAGATACTATGAAAAATATCTGGTTATTCCACATATTTATTTTCAGGAAATATAGATGGAAGGATTGAAAGAGGTACAGAGGCTGATGGCTTTTACTTAACATGTAGGTTGACTCCAAAGTCTTGTTTCCCTGCTCTAAGCTCACTGAGTTATTAGATCCTTACCAACTTTTGCTTCCTTGACTTTTTAAGGAATTTAGTTATAATACAATACTGCCTTACTATAGTTACTTAAGGATTCTAAGAAAAAATGCATTTAATGGGACCAGCAGTTAGTGTAATGGCTATGTTGCTGGACTCCCACGTAGCTGACTGTAGTTCGAGTCCCGGACCCGGTGGCTTAAACTCACACCAGGCACATGTGTGTGTATGCCCAAGATCAGCGTGGCCATCCCCCAGGGGGGTGATTTCTCACTTGCTGTCTCTCTGTCTCTCTCTGTCTTTCTGATGAGTGCACACACCCTGTAGCAAAATCCTCTCAAAAAAAAAAAAAAAAAAAAAGAAAGAAAGAAAGAAAGAAAGAAAGAAAGAAAGAAAAAGAAAAAGAAAAGAAAAGAAAAAATGCATTGAATAAGATAAATATTGTAAATTGCATCTCTTATTCAAAGGTTTGTCCTGAAACTCATGGTGTTGTTATAGAGGTCTTTCTGTAAAGCTGCAATTATTGGGGAGCATTCATGGCATGGTAATTGAGGCAGCTGAATCCCACATGGTTGACTTGAGTCCTAGACCTGGCAGCTTAAGCACCATGCTAGGTACATGTGTATGTGTGCCTCTATGCCCAAAATCCCAAAAGGAGGGAGAGATAAGGAAAAGGGATTGTGGAATGACCATTCTCCATGGGCAGTGCTTTCTCACTTTCTCTCTGTCTGTCTCTCTCCAATGGCAAGTGCAAACACTCTCTTGCTAAACTAAAAACAACAACAACAAAGATCCAATTTTTGGAGCATCTTTGGGGAAGAATCAATTCTCTTTCTGAAAATTCAAAACAAAATAAGAAAACCACTCAATGCGAGTGATAAAAACATCAACCCAGAGCAAAGAACATTTACTAAAACCATAGAAACATAAGCAGCACACTTGATATATCTCTGAATTTCAAGAGACTGGATAGCTACATCCCGAGAGGAGGACATCTTCATGTTCTCCAAACAACAACAACAACAACAAAAACAGACTTTAATGGGTTTTAAAAGGAAATGGAGCTCTCGGTACATGGGATGCTTACAACAGACTCCACATATTAATGCATTTCAATAGATGGCTAAGGAGGATTTTTAAATCTAGAATTGGATGTAAGGAAAGTTATTTTGTGTTCTATACTCATAGAGGCCAAAATCAATGAAAATGTTAGGTGTTTTACCACAATTACTCTCCAGTTTAGTTTTGTCTTATTCACTATATTTATAATTACTCCTGATGCTACCTAATCAATTTTGGAAGTTTCACCGATTCTGTAAGGCTAAATGATTTAATTAATTTCTCACAAATTCCCACAGATGCAACCTCAGAAAAGATTACACTTCAGCTCTAGATACAGATTTGCAAGACCATGGTTACATCTGTATTTCTCTAACTTCCTAAAAGAAGTTCTTTTGGGGCCAATTCTGATAAACATATGATTTCAGTTAGATCAATACTTCTCTGGTGTTTCAAGCAGCTACCATATTGACATGTAAATTGCTTTCATTGATCTGCCAATGACAGCTCATGAAACTGCATTTTTCCGTATGTCTAATGGTCACCATGTTTGCTCTGATTGGCTGTTCTCCACATTTCATAAAACTGACTGGTCATATCTCAAGATACCAATTAATTAAAGCATCTGTACATGGTGAACAGTTCTACAATATGGTCCATATTTCTGCCTTTTAAAATCATTGTTATGAACCATTTAGATTTGGGATGGCTAGGAGAGAGGAAAGCATTGTTGCATTTCTGCTCATTTCTCTTAGACACTGTCTCTGTGGCTACATAAAAGATGACATAATAATCATGTTGCTGAACTCTCACAGCATCGACCATGGTACAAGTCCCAGATCAGATAGCTTAAAACTCTTGCCAGGTGTGTGTACATGCATGTCAACAATCCTGAGTGGAGAATATAGAAGAAAGAATGGCAGCATGGCTAGTCCCACAAGGGGTGATTTCTCACTTTCTGTCTCTCCAGTGAACATATGTACCCTATAGCAAAAAAAAAAAAAACAAAAAAAAAACAAAAAAAAAACACCTCTTAAAAATAATAGGAGAGCTCAAGGTTTCATATGTTTGGGCATGCACACAGAGGCTTTCTGTTTGGCCACTGTGGAAAAGGCAAAGGAAACTACCTTGAGCTTTTTGATTTGGAGCTCAATGGTGTGGATATCAGTGCTGAGCTCCAAGCGCTGAAGCTGGTCCAGTTCCTCCTCCGTCTCTCCCAGCCAGGCCCAGATGTTGTTCAGGTCTGTGTTAAACTGTTGCCATTTCTGGAGGTTCTGCTTCATCCTCAGCTCCTTGCTCAGGGCTTGGGCTTGCAGGAGCTCCCAGCGGTCAATCACACCTTGCAAAACATGCACAGAACAGTGAGGGGTTTTCTTCATCTATTATGTTTAGTTAATGCTTTAAATATTCATTGGTGCCTAATTTTATTTTTTATTATTATTGTTAAATTTATTTACTTTTTTATTTTTAAATTTTCATTTTTTTATAATTCATACATTAAATTGCTATACATTATTTAGGTTGTGAAGAGACTTTACCCAGCATGACATACACTTAAGCCCAGCCCAGCTGAGACCACCATACACATTGTCGTCAACAGATGATACACCTTATCTGTGTCCCACAAGTGTCTTACCTCTCCATTTCCGCTCCCCCCCCAAATTTCTATGCTCTTCCCCTCCCACATTCTCTTTCCACTTTGTCTCTAGTGTCCCTTACAATTTTTAATACTTTTATGTTCTCCGTCTTTCACTCTCTACCATAGCATGTGGACAGTCCGTATATGTTAAGTGGAGACAAACAATGTCTCTCTTTCATAGCCTGACTTGCTTCACTCAGCAACAAATCTTCCATATTCCACCTTCTATCAAATTCCAGGACCTTGTTGTTTTTTATGGATGAATAGTATTACATGGAGTGTATGTGCCACAGTTTTTCAATCCATTCATCTGTTTGTGGACATTTGGGTTGGTTCCATGTCCTAGCAAGCGTAAATAATGCTGCAATAGTGTGAGAGCTTCTCTAAGTGCTCTCCTGTCTTTTGGGTAGATTCACAGGAATTGCTGGATCATATTTATTTACTTTTTTCATAAGAGTGAGAAAGAGAAACTACAGCCCAATAGGCTCTTCATGCCATGATCAACCCCCAGCTTTAGCCAGCTCTGGATCATGGGCTGTAAATGTCCAAGTATATGTCCAACATACTCAGGGAGATATCCGGACTTGAACTAAGAACCTAACCCTGTGGGTGAGCCTTGGAGAGCATTGAGTTTTACTGCAGTGCCACTGTCTGGTCTCTTGTGGCTAATTTTTATAGCAATAGAAAGAAAAGTAATTCCATTGGGCATTTCTGCTGTCATCTATAAACAGAAGTTAAATGGTATAACAGCTTTGTCTTCCTATTTGCATTTTTATTACAGTGATAATAGAGTATCACTGTGAAGAACATTATGAAGCAGTCATGCTCCTGAAGGTCTCATGCTCTTGGTTCCTTTCTATACTAGGGCCCTGAGAGCATACATGTAAGTGCCAGACAAGACAGAGGCAGTGCATGGAAATACATGGAATGAGTGGAAGACTGCTGTAATGCTCTTTGTCTCCCTCTGTATCAAAGGAGTTGGTTACAACCTGGAGAGAAGTTCTCATAACAGAACAGTGAGGAGGGAAGCCATGCAGTCCAGTAGAACTTGAATGCAATAAAGTGCTTTGGGATCTTCTATTTATTATATTTAATTGTCAAGAGTGTGCCTGCATTCACCAGAGAAAGAAAGAGACAGAGAGAGAGAGGAGAGAGAGAGAGCAAGAAAGTACCTTGAATGGGGCATGTTCACACTACAATCTCTGCTTCTCTATCCTATCAGGATTTTGGACACACACATGCACATGTGCCCAGAATGATTTTCAAGCTACTGGGGCTGGGATTCAAAAGCCATGTCAGATCTGGCTGACTCAACCATTAGGTCATGGAGCCAGCCCTCAGGATCTTCTGTTTTACTGTCTCCAGAACCAGGCCCTGTACACCCACCTGCTGTCTGGGTTTCAGTACTATTCAAATTCACAAAGCCAGGAAAGCTCTCTTCTTCCTCCTTCAGTTTGTGCTCCAGTCTCCGCACGGAGTCTATACTGCCACTGCATTCACCCAGCAGTTTCATCTGTTTGGACATAAAAAGTAGACCCCACATCACCAACTTTCTCATCAGTGCAACAGCTTTTGGGGAAAATACCTTTGTAGTTCCTCAACAAGAGCAATGGCTGTGTTTATGTCTCTGGGCTACTCTACTAAAAACAAGCAAACTTAAAAAACAAGCTCTTAAAACAGATGACACACCGGGGCCAGCAGATGGTGTAATGGTTACATTGCTGGACTCCCACATAGACAACTGTGGTTCAAGTACTGGACTTGGTGGCTTAAAACTGATGCCAGGCTTATGTGCACATGAGCCCAAAATCCAGAAAAAAGAATGGAGGAGAAGGGATTGCATTGTGGTCATCCCTCCTGGGGTGTGATTTCTCACTTTCTGTCTCTATCTCTCTGGAGAGCACACACCCCCTAATAGCAAAAACCTCTCTCTCAAAAAAAAAAAAAAAAAGTCAACACACTAGTATATATAAAATGCAGTGCCTTAAAAATGTACTTTGCATATGTGATTTTGCATCTGTCCTCAAAATTTCTTTTAAATTCACAAATCTAAACAGACTAAACCAATCTGGAATTTAAAACTGAGGTGAGCAATTCACTATATAATTTTGGGCAAACTGCTCTCTCCTTCTCTTTTTAAAACTGAAATGTGGGAATGATAATATTACCACAAATCTCATGGGATCAATTTTGCATTAAATAATTAAAATACTTAAAAGCATAAATCAGTATTAAAGCCAGCTATTTTATGAGAAAATTTAAGCAATGTTTAATAGGTATCAGGGGACTAAATTCTATAATAAAAGAAAACCTTCCAAATCCATTTTTAATATCATTCACAGTATTCAAAAATTGCAAGAACAAATCATTTCCAGGCACTCCTACTAGACTGACCATAAAATTATCTTTCAAAGCCTTTAACAAATCACAATGTCATTAAGTTACTTGATTACTTTTGATTGAGGTTAAGTGTAATTTCAGTGATGTCAACATGGTCATCATAAAACGGGGCTATACTTTTAAAAAGAGATTTCATTGTAATGTAATGAAAGTAGGTGAAATAGGCAAAAGGAGACTAGAACTAAACTCATGATTGATTCCTCTTCTGAAATTATGAGATAATAATACCAATATATATAACTAAGTAGTTTTCTTCCCCAGTTTAAAAAAAGTAGTTTGCAGGACAACAGTTGGCATAATGGTAAGGTACTGGACTCCCACTTGACCATCTGCAGTTTGAGCCCCAGACCTAGCAACTTGAAAATCATGCTGGGCCATGTATGTGCATGCACAAAATCCCAAGAGGAGAATGGAGGAGAAGGGATTATGGTATGGTCATTCCTTAGGGAGGATGATTTCTCACTTTCCCTCTCTTTGTCTTTCTCCGGTGAGTGCATGTGCCCTTTGGCAAAAACCTTAAAAAAAAAAAAAAAGTAATTTTTATGAGTTTAGATTAGATTAGATCCAAGAAAATTATTTCTTCTTTCTTTTTACTTAACATTTCTTTGGATGTGAAAGAATATATTAGGCCAGGAAGAAAATTACTTTAAAACCTTCTTGCTTAGCTATATATAACTATGTGACAGAAGCAGGTAGTTCTCTGGGAAAAATTATTTGGTCAGTAACTTGAGCAGGGAAAATAACATCATGACAGACTTTATCATAAATAGTTTATAATCCTTTTGCTATCTTTTCTCCAAGTCCCTCTTGTTAATTAAAATTGTTTTTTCCAGAAAAAGCATATAAAAACAGAGGACAAAGGTATCTCCAAGGTCATTCACTGAATCAAAAAACGCAGGAAAAGAACTAAAAAATTCCATGTTAGTAATCTATTAGCCAAAACCTTCTGGTCCAAGGTTAACCTAAGTCCAAAAATTATTTGATTTTGGAAATATGCCTAATGACTTTTGGGGGCCAAGGCATTTTGTTGCTTTCAATTAAACAGACATTATTGAGAGCTCCGTTTAGATAGGCTGGTCATTATGATGAGCTTTGGGCCTGAAAGGAGATCAGATCTACTCAAACAGTAACTTAGTAATATTCTTTGTGCATATCTGTGTTGATGAGTTCAAGGGCAGCATGGTGTTTGGAGACCTCTCATATAGTTGTCATGCTACAGAAGGGCCATTCTTTGTCACAGAACTGTGATTTCCAGGATCAGCTGGCAGGATACTCACGTAGCCTCTGTAGCTGGAGTCTAGCTCTGGCCCTGTGGGAGTTTTGCTGCGGATGATATTTTCAGTTTGCTGCATCCGAAAACGGCTATCATCCAGGGCTTTGTCCAGTTGTCGGATCTGGGACTCTAAGGTGCTGTGATCCCCTGTGGTGTCAACCATAAGAATCTTTACCAGCCGTACTATTAGACTTCAGCCATGCTTGACATTTAAGGAGAAGTTTCAGAAATTATTTCCATTATGGCAGCATAGAAGTGGCACATTGGTGGGTGATTATAAAGCAAATTTAGTATTATCATGCTGGTGGGTTAGACAGTTTGATGGCTAAACTGATGTGTTGCACCAAGAGTCCTAGTGAACCTAAGATTTCTCTGCAATGAATTCTGAACAGCCTGTATGTCAGTGCCCTCTTTCAACTATTCCCTAATACCTCTGAATTTTGCAAATTGTGGAAGGACTTTCTAGAACTCTGAAGTGGGGTTTACTGCTCTCCAGTTACTTCTCTTGTTTTTTTTCTGGAGTCACCCTTTGAGCAAAGGAAGGCATGCCCTCTAACTGTCCTTTGTGTCCTGAAGGAGAAGAATGGGTCACGGTGGGCCACAGGAGGCCCAGGTTGCTGCATCATTCATTTAAGGCATAGGTTCAAGTTAACCAAGAAAAGACTAGCTCAGCATAGATATGTAAGGAGCTGTCAAACTAGCAGTAACTTGCTTTCATCTGAAATCTAACAAAACCAGGAGAAAGCTAACATTTTAGCGTTTCCAGCAAGGCAGGCACTTACTCATAGCTTAGAACCACTGGTACATTCTCCTCTCAGAGTTGTGATGTTTCTTTGCAAAATTATAATGTGTGTGTGTGTGCATGTGTGTGTGTGTGTGCATGTGTGTGTGAGAGAGAGATAGAGAGAGAAAGAGAGAGATTGTCTTTGAATTCCACAAGAACATTAATCAGAGTGAAGCTAGCATAGGGTGAAAGCACAATTAGTAAGCTTTATTAAACTTATTCCTGTTTTTGATAAAGGGTCTTCTAAATACACCTAGAAAAGGTCTCCCATAAGGAATCATTCGGAAAATCATGCTTGTAATAATGCTACTTTGCTCCCTGTCCTTTTGCTTTCCCTCAAACACTGAAGTACCAACAAGCATCTCATCTCTGTAGTTCAGTAGTGCATCACCATGTTCAGACACTATTTTCCCCACCCTCTCTCAATTACATATCCTGAACTGCAGTTTGTTTAGTGTGATACTGAGCAAAGCTAGTTCCACCTTTCTTTAATTGTTTTATCAGAAACCGTTCTATTCTCAAAGGGAAATTTAAGACTCAAGGTACAATACATGCAGCCTGATTCTCTTCAGCCAGAGGTAGGTCTACAACCCCATGAACCTGGCACTGCCACAATCAAACTGGGGCCATGTGCTGAAGAGTGGGTTTCCTCATGTTTTCTGCTGTTAATGGGCAACACAGGTGTATAGGTAGTGAGATGGATCATTAACAAGTGGAAAAGTGATTTCATTTCACATGATCCATGAAATCCTATTTTTGGTGTTGAGGCTGATTTTCCTACTGTAGCAGTAGAAGAGAAGAGTGGGCCTTCACATGCTGAGCCACAGAGCTGTGAGGGGTGCAGCAGGGGTGCTGTGAGGAGGTTGGTTACAGGCGAGGGAGGGAGGCTTGCTCTGGCTTTCCATGCCTACCAGAGATATTTCTGATTGCATTTTCTGTGAGTTTTACATAGGCCTCAGGGCTTTCGGGGATCATTACATCTGAAAAGAGAGCACAGTCTAAGTTGATAGCTAGGATCTGGAAACCACGAGTTCCTTGTGGCATGAAAATAACTTTCCTAGGGAAAAAAGGAAATTAGACAACCCTGAGCACACTAAGCAATGTCTGTGCTCCCTAAAGGCTGCCTGAAATGAGTCTTGATAGGTGCTCCCAGTGACTGATAGCATTTTATAAGCTGTTCTAAGCACTCATTTATTCTCACAGAAACCCTCTGGGGCTCCTGGGAATGTCATTCCTATTTTATAGATGAGAACACTGAGTCCAGAGGAATTAAGTTACTAATCCAAATTTAAACAGCTAGTAAGCAACACACGTAGGATTTCAACCCAGACAGATTCCGAAGCAGCACTGTCCCACGGTTCCATGTAATTTCAAAGGCTTGGAAGCCACATTAGAAAGCTAATAAGAGACAGACAAAATTAATTTAAATATTAAATTTTACTAAACTAATATATACAAATTAAAATGTGATGAACACAAATATCATTAATAATTTATATGCCTCCTTGTACTAAATCTTTGAATTTGGTGTTTTTGTGTGAGTGTATTTTTTTCTTACAGCTCATCCTTATTTGAACACTCACATGGCTTAAATGAAATATTGGATAGTGCTGCTTCAGATGTCACATGCTGGACTAATGGGCTCTACTGTAAAGACAAAATCGCAATGAGACAAGTTGTTTTATTTTTAGAACCATGCCATGTGCCTGGAATTCAGATATAAACCATCAGCAACAGGCAGAAATGCTCATAGATGTCTTTTCAGAAAATGCAAGAGATGCTTCCACAAGTGCTACAAATCAGCCTCCAATTATTCACTCTGTTCTTACCTTCCTTACCATAGTCCTTGCTTTCCATCCCTTTCACTGCATGTGTTGCCTGGAATTTTGTCCCTGTTTCCCTTCATACATGCTTAGTGTGATTTTCCTTATTCAGTCAGGGACAAATATCATTTATATGTAGATAGTTACCTACTATATTTCCAAGTCTTGATTGTCACACCCATGTCTACTGCTGGATTTTTGTGTATGAATATTTTACAACAAATATCTCAAATTCAGGATGTATTTTGTCAAAGTTGTCACCTCTCTCATCTCACTACCTTGCCACCCTTGCCTAGATACACCCATAACCTCTCTCTCATAGTCCTTGGGGCTAGGGTCACCTGTTTCATTCACCAAGATATGTAACACCTCTATCTCGATTCAACCTCGAGTTGTGGAGGAGTCTTCCAACTTCTTACACCTCTTCCATTTTATGTATTCCCAATGCTACTCCTTTAGTTAATACCAGCATCTTTCTTGTGTCCTGCATTATAAATGTACCCATTGGGACTTTATTCCTCTTAGTATGCTCTCCTCCCTATAGTATCTGTCTAGATCTGATCACTCACCTCCCTCCTTAGACCTTGTTGTGGTTCTCTATTACCTTCAGGCTCAGAGTCCAACTCCTTTCCATGGTGAACAGGCCACTTTATAAGAAGGTTCTCATGTACCTTACTAGCTTCTGCTTTGTCCACTCCATCCATCCAACCTACAGTCTCCTCACTCTGCACGAACTTCAGATGACCAAGAGCACTGAGGCTCATGATAATGCTGGGATGAGATCTCTTTCCCGTCTCCCTCTGAACATTGCTGTGTTTACTGCCCCACTGCTATTCCTTTTTCTGGTCTCAGCTCAGAGCTTTTCCCTGATGCCTCTCCTCAATGCTCCAGGTTGGTTGCCCCTTGCCGGTGTGTCTAAATGGCTATGCTAATTGTTGTATCTGATAAATACACGAATACCCAGTTCTCTTAAGTACAGTGTCCCCTGATGGGAGGAGGAAGAAGATGACTCTGGATAGCTGAAAACTGTTTCTAGTACAGCATTAATTCCCTTGTATTTTCCCCACAAGCTGGCACACAGGAAAAGCTCTTTCCTACCTGATAAGCCAACAGCACCCCTGAGGTAGAAATCTTTGTCTTCCTGACCCTCTTCATCCTCGGAGGGCAGCGTTCTGGACACTGCTGACTCCAGGTCACGACTGAGGTCATAGTCATGGTCCCACTCCAGGGGGATGGAGTCCACACTGGCTGGGGTGTCTCTTCCTGATCGCTCGCTCCGGAGAGGCTGGGCAAGTGACAGGGAGGGGTTGGAGGAAGGCTGTGGGGAGAGCACGCTGTCTGCTGATGGCTCATGCCAGCGCAGGTCGGAGAGGGCTGCCGAGTCGTCCAGCTCCAGCTCCCTGTCTGAGAGGTCGTGCTCATCATCCGGGAGCTGGAAGGGAAGTCAAACAACCCCATCACTGCAGTGGCCGAACCAGCAGCCCATGTACCATTCCAGGTTCTACCATCCACTAAGTCCCTATATTCAAGCTGATCTGGGCCCTGCCTACCATGTGGGGATAGCCCAAACTTCCCATCAACCAATAAATAAGACTCTTCTGATCACTTTTATGGAAGTCTATTGGGGGCCAGGTGGTGGCACAGCAGTAATGTATGTGGGCCAACGTGTGAAGGGGCCTGGATTCCTACCCCTGAGCATGGCAGACACACATGTCTGTGAATAGGCAGGCTAAATCAGGGGTGGATCACAATAGGAAAATGCTTGTTGGAGGTGCCCAGCTCTGTCTCTGTCTCTTATGCAAGAAATACATAAATAAAAATTTTGAAAGTCTTACAAATTAATCTACAAAAGCCTCAGTTTTATTACTAGTAAAATGTAAATAATAAACTCTACTTCAAAGAAAGGATAGAAGATTAAATAAGACAGTATAAATAAAGGCAAACCAACATAGCAGGAATATACGGTACACGCCAGGCACAGAGGAAATTTACTAATAAAGTTTTGGCCTGGGAACATCAGATGGTTCAATGGTTATGTCACTGGACTCCCAAATAGTTGTCTACAGTTCAGCTCCTGGACTTGGTGGCTTAAAACTCATGTGAGTGTGTGTTCAAGATCCCAACCCAAGAGGAGAATGGAGGAGAAGGGTTTGTGCCATGACCCCTGGGGGTGAATTTCTCACTTTCTGTCTCTCTGTGTCTCTGGCAAGCACATGTGCCCTATAACAAAAATCTCTCTCTCAAAAAATAAAAGCTTTGGCTTGTCTCTTTTACCTCCTTTCCCAGGTATAAAATATACTTTCTTTCAGAAGATTCCAAATATTCTAGTAATAACATCTCTACAGATGATATGTGATTATGGTAGCAATTAGGAAAGTAGAAGAAAAAAATTCACCTAAATATCACCTCTTTGATTGAGCAATTGTTCACATCAATCACTTTCCTTTTATTTTTTTTAGAGGCTTCTTTATCTTCTGGGGAAAATATGTGCACAAAGAATTCTTTTAAACTCTGTATATATATATATAGATAGGGAAAGTGAGAACCTTGCGCACCCAGGGGGGATGACCACACCACAATTCCTTCTCCTCCATTCTCCTCTTGGAATTTCTGGGCAAGCATGCACAAATATCCAGCATGTTTTTGAAGCCACCAGTTAAGATTCGAACCATGTAGGCAGCCGGGTGGGAATAAGTTACCTTAACCTCTGTGCCAGCTCTTGGCCTGTAGTTACTATTCTTAAACTAGTTTTACAGTTGAGAAAATGGAGGTAAGAAAGGTGAATTAAGTTGCCTAAGGTTGTAGAGCTAACACAGGTCAAAAGCTGGGACTTGAACTCAGGTACTCTGGCTTTTAAGTCTGGTTTCTTGCTCACCATTCAATGCTATCCAGCCTCACATAATTAATTCCTTTTAGATTTAATGACAACAAAAAAATAAATGTTACTTACAGGCAGGCGGATCAATTTCTTGTGGTATCGCTCCACACGCCCAAAGACCTCCTGGCAGTACCGACGGAGCTCATCGAGTTCTTCCTCAATGACTGCCGCATCCAAGGGCTCACTCTTTTCTATCAGCTGCTCTCCTTGGGCAATTATCTGCTCGATCTTATTGTGGTTCAATGCAATTTCTTGCTGGAAAGCCTAGGGACCAAATCTCACGTAGTTTTTTTTTATGGCTTACACTGACATAAAACAGTTACAACATAGTATTCTTCATTAAATTAGCAAAAGCGGGTAGGGATATTTAATTTACACTGATAAGCCAAGAAGTTATTATTACCTAAAGTAAAACATGACAATTGTACACTGGAACAAAAGTCAGCAATGAACATGTTTTAACTCCATGACCAAAAAAAAGCCTTTGGTTAATGAAACGTAACAGGAACAAGTCTTCAAACAGGTCATAAAGTTGATTGCTCTGATTACCCTTGATGAAAGCAATAGCTATCGATATCCAGCCACTGAAATAAATTTGGCATTGCAACAAAAAGTTCTTAACAGTTTATATGCCCTGGTCAGATGTCCAAAATGGCTAAGAAAAGCCAACCACGTGACAGTGCCACAAATTCTCAGATGATCCTTTGGTCATTTCAGGACTTTAAGTAGGTAAAGTTTCAATGATAAAACAAACAAACAAACAAAGGGGGGGGGCATCGGGTGAGGTGGTCCAGGTGCTGGGCTCCTGCATGGTTAACTATGGTTCAAATCCTGGCCCTGGCGACTTGAAACTCAAGCCGGGTGCATATGCATGCACGTCCAAAATCTTGAAAGGAAAATGGAGGAAAAGGGATTGTAGCACGGCCATTCTCCCTGGGTGTGTGTGTGTGTGATTTTTTGCTTTCTCTCTGTCTCTGTCTCTGTAGTGAGTGCACATGCCTTACGACAAAAATCTCTCTATAAAAACAAAACAAGAGACCAGCAGTTAGTGTAATGGCTATGTCACTGGACTCCCATGTACTTGACCGTAGTTCAAGTCCCGGACCCTTTGGCTTAAACTCATGCTGAGCACATGTGCGTGCGTGCCCAAGATCCTGAGAGGAGAATGGAGGAGAAGGGATTGTGGTGTGACCTTCCCCCTGGGGGGTGATTTCTTGCTTTTTGTCTCTCTGTCTCTCTCTGTCTCTCCGGCAAGCGCACACACCCTATAGCAAAAACCTCTCAAAAGCAAACAAACAAACAAACGAATTAAGGGAGGGTTATTTAGACTTGTTCTAGATGGTTTAAAAGAGCGAATGCATGGGGGACAAGTTTTAAGTAATTATGTTTTAATTCAATACAAGAATCAACTCTGGAAGAGTTGAAACTTTCCAATGAAACAGACTGCCAGGGACAGGGGTAGGTGATGATAGGTTCCACGATTCTGCCAACAGTCTAGAAGGAAAAGATTCACCCACCACTTGGTAGAAATTTCTCCTCAAAGGATTTAAATATTGATTAGCTTGTGAGATAACTTGGAGGAATGGCATTGGGAAGGTGAGAGTAAGAGAAAATGGCTCAGTAGAATAGCAAGGTTTATTATTTTCTGTTTTCTTTCATCTTGAGAATGAATAATTAATGATAAATTCCTTGTTTTAATGTAACAGTCAAAAGATTATGACCATCGGGAACCAGCAGTTAACATAATGACTATGTCGCTGGACTCCCACGTAGTCGACCGCGGTTCGTGTCCCGGACCCGGTGGCTTCAAACTCACGCCGGGGACGTGTGCGTGTGTGCCCAAGATCCTGAGAGGAGAATGGAGGAGAAGGGATTGCGGCGTGACCATCCTCCCTGGGGGGTGATTTCTTGCTTTCTGTCTCTATGTCTCTCTCTGTCTGTCTGGCGAGCGCACACGCCCTATAGCGAAAAACCTCTTCAAAAAAAAAAAAAGATTATGAGCATCATGACTATTCTTAATTTGCTACTCAAATTTCTAGTTAGCTACTGTGCTTAAACTACATATAAAATATACTTAAAGTTAATTTGGCATCGAAGGATAACTATGTGGAATGAAATCCCAGCATAAGACATTGCCAGCTCTAGGAATACAGAGATCAAATAAACTAAGTGAAGAGGTTAGAAACAAATCAGAAAAATAAATTTAAGTAAAAAAACACAACAATTGGGACATATTGTGGCATAGTGGTTAAGGCTCTGGACTTCCCACATGGCCGACCACAGTTTGAGTGCTGAGCTGGCAGCTTGAAACTTACATTGGGTGCATGTGTATATGTGCCCAAGACCCTGAGAGGAGAATGGAGGATAAGGGATTGCATTCTGGCCACCCGGGGAGTGAGTTCTTGCTTTCTGTCTTTCTCTATGTCTGTCCAGTGAGTTCACATGTCTTATAGCAAAAATATCTCAAAACACACAAACCACACAGCAACAAAGGAAAACCTTATACCTTGGCAGTCAAACTGATAATAAAAAGTGTGAATAGGGGTTATCTCTAGTTAGTGCTCTTTATTTTACTTTGATATTTTCTGATTTTTTTGCAACCAAGGAGAACTATTTTTTTAAAATTTCACTTTATTTTTGATAGAGCTCACACATGTGCATTCAAGAATGAAAAAGAGAGGAGAGAGAGAGAAACACCCTCCATAGGATCAGGTCACACTGCAATCCCTTTCCTACAGTCCTCCAACCCACTGGATCCTGGGCACCTGAGTGCATGTCCAGTGTTTCAGGCTGTCTGAGCTGGGGATTCAAACTGTGGTCCTTATTGGGGATGTGGCTTCTCTTAATATCTTAAGTAGCATAGTACCAATACTCAGTGAAGCCAGCCTAGAACTAATTTTTTCAAAAGTCTTACTAGGTTCTTCATAAAAGAATTTATAAATCATTTTATTTCACATTTTCTTCCTATCAATAATTTTAAAAAATGACTAATCGATTACCTTCAGTTGCTTTATTTTAGCTTGAACGTCACACTCAGAAAAATGTTCAATATTAGTGAGTTGCAGATCCATCTCTGTTAGCCAGACCAGAATACTGTCCCGGGCAGTCTCGAATTCCTCCCGCTGGCCGATAAAATGCTGGAAGTAAGAGGAAAATAATTAAAATGTGAAAGTCCATATAAACGTGTAGCATGTCACAGTGAACTCCAAGTCTCTGGAAGTCATTTCTCCACAAATAATGATAACCCTGCCATCACTGACCATATCACTTCCCTGACACCCTTCCTGTCATTCCAGGTGCACCAGATCACTGAGCTTATGTCTCAATATCGTGTTCCAGTGGTCCTATTTTTTCATCTGGCCTCTAAATGAAGGATGAAGAGTAATGAAAACCTTGAGTCTGCGCAGGATGGAGGTGACACGCTTTTGCAGGTTGTCCCATCTCTGGTTGCCTTCGTGAACTATCTGTTTCAGGCTGCACGCAGAATCGGTGCGGTTCTCTCTGGCCAGTCGACGATACTGCTTGTTGATCAGTTCTAGCTGGGTCAGACTCTCATGGACTTGCCGCTGGAAAGCCTAGGACCACAGAGAAGCAGCTCAGTGGGGGAGATCAGGGAGGGAGAGGCTCCTGGTGTTCAGATTGCAGGGTCAGGGAGGACAGGAAGTGACTCAGCAAATGAAGACAGAAGGAAAGCCTAAGGACAGCATTCTTGCCTTTATTAAAGCAAAGTAATTCAGTAGGAAGAGCTCAAGGGAAAGGAGTGGATCAATCAAAAACATGAAGACAATGTGGAATAATAAATAGATGTACATATGTATACACACATGCAGACATATATACAGGGGTCTGCAAAAAGGTCATAGAAAATGTGTTACAAAAAACTGCATAGATTTCAAATTTTTTTGCACCAAAATAATCTTGTACTTTAATACCATTTCCATAAACTTTGTGCAGTCTGTGTGTGTGTGTGTGTGTGTGTATGTATGTATATTGGGTTGTCAGAGAAGTCATGATGCACTTTTGCATAGAAAAATACACCATGATAACCCAGTACATACATATGCATATGAATGTATATAGCAAAAATCTCTCATATATATGTATTCATGTACATATACACATACATATGGTAAAATGAACATACATAAGGTAAAAATGAACATAAATATGTTTAAACATATGTATGTACATAACATACATACTTGTACGTGTATATATATATATGCACACACAATGCACATACCAATACACATAATATAGTTTTTAAAACAACAACATGGAAACAAATTTCCCTAAAAAATAAAGCATTATAAAAATATATATATATGTGTGTGTGCGCGTGTGTGTGTGTGTATGTTGAAATGTTAAATATTTCTGGTGTCAATGCTAAGAAAGATATTTACAATAAAATTATTTATTTATAAAACACATAATTTCCTAAAAATCCCCAAATTCCACCAATTCTGGCATTCATTAGGGAAAAATTGCCTTTTGTAGAAGGCTTTCTAAATGTAAGCTATTATTAACTTTTAAGAAAAACAGTTTAGTAAGCTACAAGTAACTACATTTTGAAAAGTTTGAAACATGCTCTATTTATTTTTATTATTTCCGTTGAATTATTCAGTTTTACTAAAACATGTTAAGACTAGTACAGCACCCTCTGCATGTAGCAGCTCTTTACTTTTGAAGCTACCCTATACACATTAAGCGATTCTGAAAGTAAAATATTCTATTTTCTCCCTGCCATATAGAACAACCCCAGCACTAAACATCATTCCATTAAAAACACTTCAAACTCACTTGTATAATTTATAACTAATTTTTATCCTGGCATTAGATTTTTAAACATTATAGTTCAATAATTGGACTATGCTCATTAAAATCCACAAACTCAGTTTCCCTAGGCTCATCCTACTGTTTACATACTACCACAATTCTGCTTTCCTTTTTTTTTTAAGAGAGATTTTTGGAATAGGGTGTGTGTATGTGCTCGCTGGAGAGAGACAGAGAGATGGAAAGTGAGAAATCACCCTGCAGAGGGAATGGCCATGCAGAGATTTCTTCTCTAATCTCCTCTTGGGATTTTGGGCATGCACATACATGCACCTGGCATGAGTTTTAAGTCACTGGGCCCAGGACTTTAACTATGGTCTATTAGGTGGAAGATCAGCAATGTAACTATTTCATCATCTGCTGGTCCCACATTTCTGCCTCTAAAATAGCTTTTCTTTTTTAAAATATATTTTTATAAAGAATTATTTTATTTCATTTATTATTATCATTATTATTTTTAAAAATTTGACCAGAGAGAGAGAGAAAGGGAAAGTAGGAAAGCAAGCTTCCAGGTCCAGGACTCGAACTGTGCTTAGCCATGTGGGTGTCCGGCACCTTAACCACCATGCCACTTGCTGGCCCCTCTTAAATTGCTTTTCTGAGAGTTGCTTTAAGAGCCTTCATCCTAGTAAAGGCAATTCTCTATAAAACTTTACAGTCATTTCCCTTTGCCATTATTGAAATCAGAGTACATGTTTTTCCTACTGGGGTGATGTACAGCACCCAGGGCAGGACCTGGCCCACCCAGACCTATCTCAAATATTCATTCAACTGAATAGTAAAAACTGTTTCTGCAATTTACCTCTGTCTCTTAAGAAAATTAACTACAAGATTAATGATAAAGGACAAAAAGCAGTCATTATAGAAGCTGTCTACGCATCTCATTTTTGCTGTAAAATCTGAAAGTCTAAACTAGCATCAGAAGGGATTTTACATAATCTGCCTTGTAGAATAAGCCAATTATGAAAGGTTTTAACCTTTTTGAAGCTGACTATAATAAGACAGTACAGTAGTACTTCCACAAGCCTTGGTTCACATTGAGATAACCTGAACTCTACCGCAGTCTATTGTGGCTTTTAACTTCAAGTTTTCTAAGAGATAATTTTTTATATGAGAAAACATGAGTTTCATACTAGTTACATATAAATCCATTCAGACGCTACAGTAACTCTTATTTCATACAGTATTTGAATACTTCAGATGGATATAGCTGTCTATCTATGACTCATATTTTAAACCCTGTAAGAACAAAAAGTAAATTTCAAATTTCCCATAATATATCTGAGTGACTGAGTGGTTAACTGATGTTGCAACATACAAATGAATCCAGATGAATTTGGTTGGATTTTTCGTTGTATTTCTCAACAGAATCTGGGGTGGAATTAGCAAGGCAGAATGGCCAGAATGCCAGTGAACTGTTTGCTGTTGATGTACAAGTTCATGTCTGCCTATCAGCGGGAACTAAAGGGAAAAGAAACTTCAGATTAAAAAATGGTTGGGCTGGCCCCATAGCTTAGTGGTTAAGGGAGCTGGATCCCACGTGGCCCATCATTGTTTGACTCTCAGCCCTGGGACCTGGAAAACACATCTGGTGTGTTCTGGCAACCACTCATACTCTGGCAATTAAAAACAATAAATAAAAAGGTCAACTGTAGGCTAGGCAGGGTTCTCTGTGAAAATAAGAGGCAGCTGAGGAGTAGGAGTATCTTTGTTTCACCATAATTGCTTAGACTCAAGAAGTGCAAAAAGGCAAGGATTGGAATCAATTATTGAATATAACCAATTATGAATACTGAATAATCTATTTCGAATGTAATTATACCAGTTCTATTTTCATCTTAAAGTAATTGAAAAGTCTTGGTGACTCAAGAATAGCACGGGTCTTTGTTGTGTAATTAGAAAAAAGATTATAATGAAAATCTTTTATTCAAATCTGGAGCTAACTCTCTTTTATTTATGATTTATATGTGAATATATATATGTGATATATGTGTATATATATATATATATATATATATATATCACACACTCACACACACATGCTCTAATTAGGCAAAAGAAATAAAATATATTTGGAAGGTAAATGAATATATGGAAATATTTCAATCTTAGAAAAGATGGATAATTGTGTAGGATTCTGAAATAAATGTAATAAAAAGACCCTTTGTAGGAATCACAGTTTTTGTTGTCTAATTTACTTTCTCTTCATTACAACTTTATTTTCAATTCTTTCATTTATTTATTTTTAAATTTTTGCCATAGGGCACATGTGCTTGCCAGAGAGAGACAGAGAGGGAAAGCGAGAAATCACCCCCTGAGGGGGTTGCTGGAATCTTTCATTCTTAATTCTTGAACTCTAGAGATTTGGGGCATGCATATACACATTCCTTGTGATTTTCATGCTGCCAGGTCCAGGAGTTGAACCTTGGTGTCAGTCATGTGGAATTGAGTGTCTTAACCACTATGCCACCTGCTGGCCCCTATTTTTAATTCTTAGAGTCTCAAATAAAAATAAAAACCTCTTTTGCCCACTTTTTTGGCTACATATGAGGTAAGAAAGCAGCTATAAAGTCAGCCCCAGAGCTGAATGGATAACGTCTGAGCGAACAGCTAGTTTATGTCTTGGAAGACCAACCACCAGCTGGCTATCTAATAGCAAAGCAAGGATTACAAATTTGGAATTATAAATCACCTCAAATTTCTTGAGCTCTTCCTTGGCAACTGTGTAGAGCACCCCAGAAGAGCTGGGGAAAGCAGCTGTCCTTTCTGAGATCTTCAGCCAATCTTCAAAACGAGAATAGTCATCCAGAAACTTCTGCCACAATCGCCACGTCTCTTCGATTCTAAGACAGAAGACGAAAGAACATATTCTGATTGTTTGAGACTGTGACCCTCCAGAATCCCATCTGATGCCTGCAAGAGGATTTAGGGTGCCCAAACAGGCAACTGTTGTGCCAAACAATAACTGTGCCTGGAGCCAAACTAGACCACACGGGAAAAAAGACAACTGTTAGAGTTAAAATAAAACAGCTGTTTTTTTTTTTTTTTTTTTTTAAAAAAAAAAAAAAAAAAAAAAAAAAAGAACTCCTGCAACTCTAGTTTTGGAATTAGTCAAATGAAATATTCTAAGAACATATTACCCTGGATGTGTGCGAGGAGGTTCGGAGATGCAACAACATGTTTACAGGGTGCACCCAGGTCAGAGTTCCATGGAAAGAAAACCGAGGTTTGAAATTCCACTTAAGTCCAACGTCAAACTCACCCTGACTAAAGTCACTCTATTGACAGCAAGACAAATACGAGAGATCTTCAAAAAGTTCATGAGGGACAGCAGATGGCATGGAGGTCAAGGCAGTTGGATCCCAAATGGTTGACTGCCTAATTTGATCCCATATCCAGTGGCTTGCAAAACATGCCTGGCACATGTGTGCACGCCTGAAACTCCAACAGGAGAATGCAGGAGCAGGGATTGTGGCATAGCCATCCTTTTGGAGTTGGAGTAACTTCTCAATCTCTCTCTCTCTCTCCCTCTTTCTCTCTCCCTCCCTGGCAAGTGTACATGCCCTTTAGCAAACTTAAAAAGAAATAAAAAACTTCATGGAAACTGCATAGTATGAATTTACTATGCCTAAATTTCAATATAAACATATATTAGGTCAATGGGAAAGTCATGACATATTTTTCAACGTTTTTCTATGCAAACATGCATTGTGACTTTCTCGACAACCCAATATACATTTTTGCACCAAAAAACTTGTAATTTAGCTCCATTTTCCACAAAATTTGTGAATTCCTTTTGTATTAAACTTTTAAAAGTTCACCAAAGAGCATAGTAATCTTGCACTATAAGTCACTCAAATTTTGCAATACAGAGTGATTTTTTCCTTTCCAAGGGCTTAAAAATAAATGTCTCTTTGTATAGACTAATTTTTAATAAAATAATTAATGTTTTCAGAGTCACAAGTTCTGTAATCTGAGACCGGTCTGACAATGACGTATTCTTTATTTTTTTTGTATTATATTTGAATGATTAGGCCAGGTATCACTTGGCTTATTATATTATAAATTACCTCTATACCTACTCATTTTCTCAACTAAATGTAGACAATGGCAATTTTGGGAAGCCAAGATGATTTCTGGACATTGGAACCAAAAGGAAATTGTGAGCTATGAGTACTCGGTGACTTCCTTCTCTTTCTGGCCTTTGCTCTTCCCTAACTCAGCGTTCTGCTTACTTGAGCCTCCTTTCCATGGACATGGCACAGATGTTTCTCCACCGCCGGTCCAGGTTGCGAGTCGCCTGCTGGATGGAGTCACACTCGGCATCGGTGGCACACGCGTCGCAGTCATGCAGCAGGACCTCACACAGGTTGAGGACAGAGGCGACCCCAGTACTGTGCTTCTCTATGTCCCGCTGAAGCTCCTGTAAGGGAATGCAACAAGCTTTATTCAAAACTGCACTATATAGAAGAGGGGAAACTGCAGTGTTTGAGGACTGGTGCATGGTGAAGCTGAACCCTGACGAATATTTTATTTCTTTCAATGCACCAAGTTTCCTGAAACTTATTTGTGAAACTGAGAAAGCTCCTAAGTATGAGAAAATGGATTTAGGAATATTTCAGCTATGTGGGCACGCCAGGACAAACTGAACAAGTGACATTGATTACAGGAAGTATACAACTAACTTCTTTAGTGATCGAAGGATGAATCTTGTCCCAGAGTCTACTTCACAGGTACATCATTTCCATTTCAATCAATTGGTTGATCAACCAATCCACAATGCAATAAGCCTATGCCTGCTAAGAGGTGGCACTAAAGAACTGGGATTTGACCTCCAAAGATCTACAACCTGTTTTGAACAGTTAATTTAATCAATGTTAAAAGGCACCATGGGGACCAACAGATGGCATAATGGTTACGTTGCTGGACTCGCATGTAGTCAACTGCGGTTTGAGTCCCAGATCCATCAGCTTAAAACTCACACCAGGCGCATGTGTGTCTTTACCCAAAATCCTCAGAGGAGAATGGAGAATGGAGGAGAAGGGACTGGGACCTGGCCGTCTCCCCTGGGGGGTGATTTCTCACTTTCTGTCTCTCTGTCTCCCCAGAGAGCATATGTACTCTATAGCAAAAATATCTCTTAAAATAATGTACTATGGTTTAAGGTACCTGGATTTTATATAAAGAATGACACTGTTACCATCAGCAGCTTCCTTAGAGAGCAATTTTAAATGTAGAACAGAAAGTTTGTGAGAAACTGGTGGTGCAGCAGTAAAGAGCATCCCTTTATAAAGCTACTCTATGTGGGAAGTTCTGGGTTTGCATCCAGATACCTCTCTGAGCATGCTAGATATGTGCATGCCCCAGACCCAGGACTGCCTGAATTTGGGGGTGGGTCATGTCATCAAACCCTACTGGGCAGGCTGTCTCTCTCTTGTGCTCACTCATAGAGCAAATAAATAAACTCAAAAAGAAGTTGAAGATTAAAATAAAGTATTAGATCTTTCCTCAAGTCCTACAATGTGAAGTCTTTGTATTAATTGCAAAGAACATAACTTCATTGGAAATTTAACTCAATTTACTCAAGTATTCCATTGTTTTTTTTAATCTTTTTTTTTTTTTTTTTTGGAGAGGTTTTTGCTATAGGGTGCGTGAGCTCGCCAGACAGACAGACAGAGACAGAGAGACAGAAAGCGAGAAATCACCCCCCACGGGGGATGGCCATGCTGAAATCCCTTCTCCTCCATTCTCCTCTCGGGATCTTGGGCATGCATGCACACGTGCCCGGCGTGAGTTTAAGCCACCGGCTCCGGGACTCGAACCGTGGTCGACGATGTGGGAGTCCAGTGACATAGCCATTACGCTAACTGCTGGCCCTCCTCAAGTATTCCATTATTAAGAGCAAGTGATACCTGTTTTCTTTTCTTCATCACTGTCCTTAATGTTTTCCTCTCCTTTCATGCAATTCTTGAATTGCATAGCTTTTGTTTGGTCTAATAATTTCTCATCTTACTCAAATACCTGAAATTTACATTCTTGTGTTGTTCTTCATCTTATTTTTGTCCTTAACAGCCTGTTCCAATGTCTATGAAAATGCTAATATTGTTGAAAGTAGTAGCGATGCTTTCCATTAATTTTTGGAGGTTTTATGACGTAGATAATAGAAGATAAACTCTATTAAAAATATTTGTTTTAGGAAACACTTCTTTCGAATCTGTCACAAATCGTCTTTTATTTATGTAGAAGAATATATCATAGGAATTGCCAGTCTAAAACATACAAAGTAAAATATCAAAAGAATTAATTCAGTGTTTGCTTAAAGACAGAGACTTCCAGAGACCACCAAATGAATCTGAGGTCTTCTCGTACATCTTGTACAAGGATATAAATTTGGAAGAAGTGTTAGGCACCTGAATACAATTCATGCATTTAAAGAAGTTATAGCGTTCTATTTCATTTCCCCCAAGTACTCAGAAGTTTTTGTTAAAATCACTACATAAAATAGAAATATTAAGACTAGAAGGGTTTTATAACCACATATAAGTGCCCTAATACAAAGATTTTAGTATCAGCTTAACTTCACTTAGTCATGTGCTCTTGAATTGTCACACTGCATCTAAATTGCTTGTTCCTTATCTATAATACATAGACAGCTTTTCCTTTTTCTTTTTGAAGTTTTTGCTCTAGGGTACATGGGTGTGTTAAAGAGAGACAGAGATAAGAAGGAGAAGGGGAAAGTGAGAAATCAGCCCCCAGAGAGGATGGTCACTCTGCAATCCCTTCTCTTCCATTCTCCTCTCAGGATTTTGGGTATGTACACACATGCATCCAACATGATTTCCCTGCCTCCCTGCCTCCCTGCCTCCCTGCCTCCCTCCCTCCCTCCCTTCCTTCCTTTTTTCTTTCTTTCTTTCTGTCTTTCTTTCTTTCTTTCTTTCTTTCTTTCTTTCTTTCTTTCTTTCTTTCTTTCTTCTTTCTCTCTCTCTCTCTGTCTCTCTTTCTTTCTATCTTCTTTTTTCCTTTTTTTATATTATCATACACATTATGATCAGCAGACAATTTTCCATTTTTATGTCTGTTAATTGTTTTGCCTTCCCCCCCCCTTGATTCCCTCCTCCCTTCCTCATTGCCCATCCTTCTCCTGCACTGTCTTTAGTTTGCTATTATTATCATTTAATTTCAAGAAAAGCTGTTTTAGCTTTAATGAATCAACATCAAAAGAAGAAAAATTTACATAAGACTTAAAACCAGAAAACGGGTTAGGATTCTGTCCAAACAGTAGGTAGATACTAAAAACTCAAAAAACAAATATGGATGATTTTCAAAAGGCCACATCCAGGACTCAAACTGGAGAGTCTGTCATGTGGTATCCAGTTGCCTTAACTTCCATGCCATATGCTGGCCCCGACACAGTGTTTCCTATAGCTGGCTCTGCTCAATTAAATCTATGAGAATGAAGTACTTTGGCAAGAGAAACATACAAAAACTAGCCATGGAGAAAAAGACGAAAATGCATTTATCGATTTAATCTATCTTTCTAAATATTAGTCAGAATTTTTCCTTTTGGAAGACACATTATTATGCTATTTATCTCTCACAACATACATCCCAAGAAGAAAAATTTTCACAGAATCATTCTTAATACTTCCCCAAAAATAAATTATAGTAAATATATCTTTGTATTTCTTAAATTATGGTTTACAAAGACTCCTTTGTGCTAGGCACTGTACTCAGTGTTTTTCTCACTGATTTTCATAATCACACTGTGCAGTATGTACTGTGCTGATCAGCGTCCCAGACATAAGGAATCTGAGAGTTAAAATAATTAAGTGCTTTTCCCCAAGTCATGCAGACGCGTGGCCAGGCCAGAATTTGAACATAAAAAGGCTTTCCTTTTAATCAGCAGTATGTTTTTAAAACTATAATTTAAAATTAATGGAAAAACTCTAGGGGCATATATGAATATATTAAAAAGTAAAAAACTGTTAGCAAATGTCTAAGGAAATAGTGCCCTTTCCACCTGATTCCACTTCTCCTGGAGCAACCATCTCTGTCTCTTGTAGCTCTTCATTCTTGCCTTTACTTTTATATTGGGTCATCGGATTGGGTCGTCGGAAGAGTCATGATACAGTTTTGCATAGAAAAATACATATGAGTTTTCCAATGACCCAATACTTCTAAGTAACATGTTGCTATTTTAGCTGTTATCGATTCTTCTATACTAGAGAAGGAACAAACTTGTACATGTTCCCACTGGGCTCCAATGACAACTTACTGCTCCAATGAGCTTCTAATCGTTGTCTGCATCATCATGGCTACTTAATATTTTTCACACTTGAGCAACTAAAATATGCTGTGGATATGCTTCTCTTCTTATATAACTTTACTTTTTGTGCCACGCCACAATCCCTTCTCCTCCATTCTCCTCTTGGGGTCTTGGGCACACATGCACTTACGCCTGGCATGAGTTTAAGCCACTGGGTTCGAGACTCGAATCACTGTTGACTACATGGGAGCCCAGCGATGTACCTATTACGTCCTCTACTGGTCCCCTTTTTTTAAAACTCAACACCTAAAACTATTTTAACACATATTCTAATTGACTTAAATAGTCCTTAAGATAAAATATATACATAAACCATTTTACAGGATTTTAAAAATAGAGGCTATTTACATTTTATAGCATTATTAAGTTAGGGAAATTGGCTATAATGACTGAAATGTAATACAAGGAACCAGAATCTTGACTGAAAATTCAAACACCCCAAAGGCCTGTAATAACAACACTTCCCATGGGAGGTGTTTGGTATTTACTATTGGCAACTGGAACTAGATATACTTGATAAGAGTAAGTGAGAGGAGTGGGAAGTGAATACGACTTTTGTATGCATTTTGTTAGAGTCGTCTTCCTTTCTTGGTAGGTCTTGCAATTCTCATTGCAAAACAACAATTTTTAAACCTAAAAATTTTAAGTATGTATTATAATCTTTTTCCAAACATTGTAGAAAGAAAAAGAAGGTCTCCTTTCTGAGTTAGTGCGCTGGTGATCCCAGATCAATAAATAAAGCTGTCAACCCTGCTTTGGATACATCGTTGCAATTTAAATTTTACCTATCACCCTAGATGGTCTTGGTGGACCAATGGTACTAGCCCTATGATGGCACAAAGATCTTTGGTGTGTGTGTTTGTCTTTTTAAGAAAGGATCTTACTATGTCATGATTCTGCCTCAGTCTCCCCAGTAGCTCTGACTATGGAGTGTGCCACCAGGCCCAACCATGTGCTTTACCATAGCCAGGCTAACAAGTATTTTTATCACTTATTCCTCTCAGAACTTGGAGCTTGCCTGCCCCAAACACTGGCCTAGACAAAGCCTCCCCTTCATCACCAGACCTGCCTCGTTTTCTGCTGACTCTCCTTGCTCC